CCCGCCACCTTAGGTGTACGTGGCTGGCGCCTTAGCCGGTTGAGCTATAGGCGCCGAGCCCAGGCTAGTCTTGAACTCCTAAGCTCAAGCAGTCCTCCTGCTTTAGCCTCCCAGAGTGCTTGGATTTTTTTTACCAAAATATTTTATAAATAATCTTATATTCTGTTTTTTTTCCACTCAAATGTGTTTTATTTAAAATTTCATAAACATCATTTTTTATGGCAGCCTAATATTCTATCATATGGATATACCATAACCATTCAACTGTGAAGCAGTTTTCTAAAGTACAGATTAAACAATAAAAGGATATACTGTGAAGTTAGAGAAATGTTTATCGAGGTTTACTCAGTGACTGTAGTGATCTGAGCATCCTCTGCAAGATTTCCTGGCTTGTGCTAATGGTCAGCTTTACATTTTACGTGTTTCCCTGGTGTTCTAGTATCTTTTTCAGAACAGAGCCAAGTATTAGAAGATTTGTAATTATTTGCTATTAAGGCATCTTTAGAAATGTTGTCTTCTAAAAGAAGCACCCCAATTTTGCCCCCATTATTTTGAGTGCTGGTTGGTTTTTGATGTTTGCATGCAGTTTAACTGGCTTTGGTTTGCAGCATCTTGGTAATGTGCATTACTGTTCCTGGTCCCCTTCTTTAGCTGTCCCCACATTGTCCCTAGGAGCACAGTGTGGAAGCGGTGTCTTTCATCTTCTAACTGATGAATCCTCTTACGTATTCTTTCTCCTTTGTTTTTCCATGTGTTTTCTTATACCTGCCTTAGATCACAAATCCTCTCAAGTCAGAGACTTGTTCACAATCCAGCACATTTTTATTGCTTAAATAACACATTTACTAAAGATACATTTAAGGACTTGGGAAGGAAAAATAACTCTTATTATGTCCTTTTAAATTTTAAATCGTTTTGGCTTGGTCAGATGAATCTGTTAAAAAGGCAAATAAATCTTTAAAATTTTATCTTTTTATTTTTATTTTTAACCTTAGATACACATTCCAGTTTTCCTGATGGTGAACAAATAGGCCCTGAAGATCTCAGCTTCAGTAATGATGAAAACAGTGGAAGGTAATTTGCCAAATCAAGAGAACTGACTTGCAAGCTACCTTGATTCTCAATTTTGCTGTGGTTGGTGCTCAAATTTGTCATCGGTCAGATAATTGGATTTGGTATTTTTTCTTCATGTCTACTTGAAGTAATAATTTGGAAACCGTTAGAAAGTACCGCAATTCTCATATAAAACACTAGTACGTGGGGAATAATTAATAGGATGAGGAGAGTTCTTTGTAATGTAATCAAATAACATCCTCAATGTAGGAAATTTGTACACTCATGAAAGGCAGTTTACTACAACAGAGGCCAGTTACCGCCAGAATATGCACCTGCAGACGATGTACCTGCATCTGTGCTCTGGGACCTGCTCCGCCTCCGTGCTCTCCTGGCGAGACAGTTGTGTTCAGTTGACCACCTTTATAGTTTTGAGTTTTAAACACAGTTTATAGTTTTATTAGTGAACAGAACAACTATTTATCAACAGATTCTACCCCATAGACACTTTATGTGAATAACTGAAGTAACACTAGACCAAATCTACTCTTCGGAGCACGTTGACAGACTAAGGTTTATCTTTTCTCATTCGTTCAAGTACAGGCACACTGTTTAATGGCATAGATTCTCTCTGTTGGGGACTTTTGCAAATGTAATTTTAAATGAATTAAGTTAATGTGGATTGGTTATGTTCCTGGTCATGCAGACGGACACATGTAAAAGTATTTAAAATTATTTCAATTTTTCTGCCTCTTATATAATTTTAGTGCAAAAAATATTTTAAAGCCTTCTTTCATTAGTTGTACATTAGTTTCAATGTCGGTACATTTAAAGAGTCACACATACTGGACCATGGCTTACATCAAGGTGGAACGGTGATAAAAGGTTTTCTCTTGTATTCATAATTAACCCAGAATTATTACCAAGCTTTGCCATTGTGTCCCTGCATTTGTGTTTGAGCTGCTATATATCTGTGAAAATTACACTGAAAGTTGTCTTAGAAACCATTGAGAAAGCATGAATAATTATATATACATGTGAGAGGCGTCTCATCTGCTATATTTTACTTAATGAATATGTGTATTGTTCACTCTTCCATGTCTGATGTCTTCCTGAACGCCATGACACATAGTTTACTTTTGTTCAAAATAGTTTGCACTTTTTGTTAATAAAATGAACTTCAAAAAATATGCCTCTGCTATTTATTAAAAGTGAGACCAGAAGCTCCCTTTTTCTTCTCATACTGCCTGTGACTATTTAGCAGTGTAGACAAAATTCAGCATCTGATTAATTTGTTTTAAGTTTTGTAATGAGAAGTGATGGGCAGTTTCTATCCTAGCCACTCTAAAATCACAGTAAACCTGAAGGACCCAAAGATGTCTTCTGAGATGATAGTTTTTAGTTTGTACTCATTTGTTTTAATGGTAGCGTTTTTGGAAGATGTAATTCCTCCCCCAGTTCCTGACCGTCCTCGCTGATGCCAGGCCCACCACTGATTTCTCCCTCTTCTTGATACTGTGTAGTTAGGTTAGATTTGAGGCACCAGGGAGGGAGGGAGGAGGCACGGAAGAATCAGTTGCTCTGCTCTGCTTTTCTGCCTCTTTCACTTTCTGTTCCCTAATAGAGTCCTTACCACTTTCTTAGAAAACCTTTTCTCTTTTGGTAAAGGGCATAATTTCTTTTATATTTTCTGCTATTACCTTGCTTCAGTATGTATTAAGAGTGTTTTTATCTCAAGTTCATGCCTAGAAAATCCCTTCTTGATAGGATTTTCTCATAGGCCTAAAGTGTGGTATTAATGCTTTATTGTGTATGAACATTACTGCTTCTGGACAACTCTGACAGCCCATGTCATTGAAGCTTTAAGTAACCTTTGAGGTAGATGGCTGTATCCTACCCATGTGGTACAGTAGTGGTTCTCAATCTTCCTAACGCCCTGGCCCTTTGATACAGTTTTGTGACCCACAGGTTGAGAACCGCTGGGCTAGAGGAACCTGAGGTTCCCTAAAGGTTTAACACCACTGGCAGGGATCAAATGAACTGCTTGTCTGGTGCCCTTTCCAGTTCACTGCTTTAGAACCAAACCCAACGTTGTGATACCCAGTAATTAAAAACCTAAAAGATTAGGCTGGGCATGATGGCTCACACTTGTAATCACACTCTGGGAGGCTGAGGCAGGTGGATTGCTTGAGCTCAGGAGTTCAGACCAACTGAGCAAGAACAAGACCCTGTCTCTACTAAAAGATAGAAAAAAATTAGCCAGGCATTGTGGCAAATGCCTGTAATCCCAGCTACTTGGGAGGCTGAGGCAGGAGGCTCGCTTGCACCCAGGAGTCTGAGGTTGCTGTGAGGTAGGCTCACACCACAGTACTCTAGTATGGGGTAACTGAGTGAGACTATCTCAAAAACCAAAAAAAAAGGTAAAGATTGTCCTTTTTTTTTTAACCTTTTCAGATAATTTTAGATTTGCAAGAATTTTGAAAATTGTGGGTGAGTTCCTGTGCACTTTGGCTAGCTTCTCCTCCTTTCGTTGATGTCTTACAGTGATCAAAACTAAGAAATTAGTCTTGGTTTTAACACTATTAACCAAACTATTGAATTTATTCACAATCCACCAGTTATTTCCCTAATGTTCTTTTTCTGTCCCAGGATCCAGGCCAGAATTCCACATTGTATTTTGTTACCGTGTTTCCTTAGTATCTTCCAGTCTGTGACAGTGCCTTGGTCTTTCCTTGCTTTCATGACCTTGATATTTTTGAAGAGGACCAGTTATTTTATAAGATCTTCTATTTGGGTTTGTCTGATACTTGCTTAGATGAAATTGAGGTTATGCGTTTGGGGGGAAGCTGCAGTAGAGGGAGGCCCTGTGCCCTTCTCAGGGTATATTATGCTGATAATTTTTACTGGTGATGTTAACCTTGATTACTTGTTTAGAGTTTAGTGTCTGCCAGTCTTCTCCACCATAAATTTACTGTTTGTCCCTCCATATTACTAAATATTTGGAGGAGATGCTTTGAAGCTATGCAGATACCTGGTTTCTACTAAATTCTTGCTCACTGATTTTTGCACCCAGTAGTGGGTCTTTTCTATGACAATTATTACTGTAGTGTTCTGATGGTAGTTTTTTAGTTGTCTAATATTTTCTATTTTTTTATTAAAATACAGTAAGGAAAAGTCCCTTCCCCATTTACCTTTTTTATTTAGCTGCTTATTTATATGTATTAGTGAAATGTATATTTGCTCTTTGAGTTATGATCTTATAACTGTCATTATTTTGTACTTGGCTTGTTCCAGTTCAGGCCTTTGGAAGCTCCTTCAGATTGGCTCTATGTCCTTTTGATATGTCCCATTCTTGTTTTTTGTTGTTTTTTAAACCATTTCTTTACTTTTTGACACCCCAACATAACTCCAAATTCTTCTTACATTTTCACTGCCCCAGACATGGAATCAGCTACTTCTTGAGGTACTGTGGTTCCTTTTTTTGGAGAATAGTATTTAGGAACAAATATTAGAGAATAGTATTTAGGAATAAATAGTATTTAGGTGTAGAATATTCTTTGAATTCTTTTTTGACCCAGATGACGGTTCTTTTATAGACCAATAAAATGGCTGAACATTTTCACAAATAGAGTATAACTAAACCTGGATTTCTGATCCCTTGTCATTTGGGGCATTTTATTTTACTGTGTTGCTTTAAAGTTTAATGCAGAGAAGGTGTTGACTGTAGGGGCAATAAAGTTAATTCAAATTTTGAAGAAAAAAAGAAGTGCATCTGTCAGTGCGTTTAGTTCCTCTCAATGGACGGAATAGGGAATGTTTGTATACAGTCATCCCTCAGTGTATGTGGGGAGATTGGTTCTAGGACCCTTGTGGATTCTAAAATCTGAAGATTTTATATAAGTCCCTTACGTTCTTTCTTGGCCATGTGTGCTTTCTATAAAATTTGCATATAACCTATGTACATACTCTCATACTTCTAAATCCAGTATAAGTAATGTTATGTAATTGTTATATTGTATTTTTATTGGGTTTTTAAAAAATATTTTCAATCTGCTTAAATTCACAGATGTGGAACACAGGGCATAGAGGGTTGGCTGTATTTACTGATGCAAATATAGCCATTTATATGGATTTCTGTATATATCTGTGTAAAGCTTTTTTTTGGTAAAGAAAAGCTATCAACTTGTGTTGCTACCAGTTCAGCTTCCCCGGCTCATTCTAGTTTTCACTCTTATTTATAATGTCTTTCTTTAACATGAGTAGCCTGACTGTCATAGCTACAAAAACTTACATATTAGATCCTAATATACAAACCAAGTAATTTCAGAACCGTTGACTTCTATACCTTGTGAGAAACAAATTTGCCACCTAGAGTGCGGTGCTTCTATACAGCTCATTTTGTCTTTTTCTTTTGAGTATTATGTCAAAACACTTTTTCAAAGTTATTTAGGTCCTTTGATCCAAAATTACATTAGTTCTTTCCTGTCCCCTTCACTGTGGTGTGATTCATTTGTAATACAGTTAGATTCATCTGTTGTAGTCTACATTCTGTCCTCCCCCACATGTCCTGGTTGATTTTTTAATTTACAAACATTAAAATTCAGTCTATCTGGTATATAGTTCTGGGTGTTTTGACAAATGTCACTCCTCCACCACCATGATACTACACAGAACCTTTCAGGCATCCCCTAAATTCCTCTGTGCTGGCCGTGTACAGGTAAACCCCTCCCTCTATCTCCAGCAGCTCCTGGCTACCACTGACCTGTTCTCTGTCCTTTTAGTTTTTTTTTTTTTTTCTAAAGAGTCATATAAGTGGAGTTGAAATGTATAACCTTCTGCTTAGCAAAATGTGATTAAGTTTTATCCATCTTGTGTGGCTTGATATTTTGTTCCTCTTTATTGCTGGGTATTATTCCACTTTGTGAATATATTACAGGCTTTTTACTTATCTATTGAAGGATATTTGGGTTGTTTATATCTTAGGGTGATTATGAACCTTATCAACATCTGTATATAGATTTTTATGTCCACATAAGCTTTTATTCTCTAGGGTGTTACACGTCTAGGAGTAGGATTGCTGGGTGTGTAATACAGAATTATCTGGCCTTTGTCCTCAATTCTTGGGAAGTACCCTCTAAATCCTTGGTGTTTCCCCAGTGATAGGAGTTATTTGTGGTGGGCTCTCTAGTTTATGCTAACAAGACAGCTCAGGATGGCGGCTGGCCATTCCAGAACGGCCAGCCATGTGATTAGATGGTTGGGGCTCTGACCTACGTGATAACTCAGTTGAGTTCAGCCTCATTGCCAATGATTCAGTCGTGCCTACCTAGTGAAATTCCAATAAAAACTCTGGATACTGAAGCTTGAATGAGCTTCCCTGGTTGGCAGCACTCTGTACTGACATATCAATATGCCAGGAGGGTAACTTGTATTAAAGACAAGGAACCTTTATCTTTGGGACCATCCCTGACCTCACCTACATGTCTCTCCCTTTATCTGGTTCATATTTGTCATAATAAAACTGGTCATAAGTAAAGTACTTTCCTGAGTTCTGTGGGTCATTCTAGCAGATTATCAACCCTAAGTGGGAAGTAGGAGCCCACAAATTTGTAGCCAGGTGATCAAAAATAGGGTGCTCTCAGTCCCCCTGGATGTGGAGCTGCTGTCTGATGTGAGAGCACTCTTGTGGAGGACTTTGCTCTTAACCTGTGGAGCTTGGCCTGTCTCTCGTTGGTATCGGGACTCTTTGTACTGAGTCATATAGGAAGGATATTCTTAGCTTGGTAAGAAGCTGCCAGATTTCTTTGAGTGGTAATGTCATTTTGCATTATCACTTCAACATATGAGAGTTCTAGTTTCGCCTCACAAGTACGTGGTACTGTTAGTAGTTTTGATTTTAGCCATCCTGATAGGTGTCTTATGGTATTTTTTTTTTTTTTTTTTGCCGATACTTTGCTGGGAATTTTTGCATCTATTCAGAAGGGGTGCTGATATATAATTTTATTGTTCTGTTTCATCGGATTTGATGTCAGAATAATTAACTGACCTCACAAAATGAATGTTCTCTCTTCTAGGAAAGATTATGTAGTATCAGTGTTATCTGTTTAACAGTGTGGAAGGTGCTTTCGTTTTCGTAGGTGTGGTGTTTTGGGTATTTATCCTATTTAGTGTTCTCGTACCTTCTCTGTCT